GTCAGTTTACAGCCCGCTTTCATCACACACACCATTTATTAGACAATATGTTGCTGCAGCTGAATGGATTGCATGTCGAAAAAGCTTTGAAAAGGCTTGAAAAGAACCTTTTCCTGCCATCCAGGAAATTGGACTTGCCTGCTAAGAGAAAGGTAAAGTCTTCCAGAAGAAGGATGCGAAATAGGCTTAGAAGCTGAAACTATGTGTGTGCGCGTGTGTGTGTACGGCTGTTTACATACGAGTGTGTGGCTGGCTTGCATGTGGTGAGAGCTGGCAGAAAAGGCCCTGAGAGGTTTAGCATGCAGGATGGAAAGTACTCCTCACACACCTCCACACAACTCAACCATCTCGGCTGTTTTTCCGTGCGATCTTTGATGTGTCCGGCCAGAAGCTTCCACCGCTCCTGGTTCATCTTCCTCTTCAGGGAACCACTATGATGTGGATTCTGTCCCTCCACACAGAACCCAGATCCAGAGGAAGTTTTATGTAACAGGTTTTATCCTGTCTGTTTGACGCGCGGCAGTTTTGTCCTGGTTGAAATTTTTACATCCGTTACCTTTCAACTACATAAAGCAAGTCATCTGGTGACTATGACCAGACACATCTCTCTGTGGTCAGAGTGATGTGTCTCTTCTGTGACCAATGCTGTCAGTTCAAGTCATTGGCCACGTTTTATTAGACGGGAAGAAACTACACATCTGTAGACTCTACCTGTGCTAAATCTTAGTCCCAGTTGACGGCGTTTCAACTAAAAACCTAGAGGTTGGAGTCCTTGTCAAACGGTGTTTTTGACTAAAGTCCCAGAGGGTTAGAGCCCCAGTTAAACGATATTTAACTGAAGTCCTAAAAGGGGTGCGGGTTTTAATGTTTTTATCTTCTTTTTTTTTATCTTTTTCAAAATGTCTTTCTCTTTCTCACTGTTTTTTTTTTTTCAATGTCCCATGCTGTTTTTATTTTAATTTTGTGAAGTACTTTGCTGCTGAAATGTGCTATACAAATAAAATTTGATTGATTGACTAAATGAAGGCAGGTTGATGACCTGTAGCAGGATGGATGCAGAAAGGAGAGAGAGCGAAAACATCCCTGAGGATGGTATCGCCATCAGAGACCTTGTATTGTTCCTACAACCCAATTATGTTAATTCTGTTAACTGTTTCTGTTCATGGAGGTAGATTTAACCAAAACTGCTTTATTAACTCTGGATGTGAGAAGTGATTAAAACAGAGATGTCCCCTGAGACTTCTTGGTGGTTGTCCAGATTGGAGAAAGTTGATCAGAACCCTCAGGATAGGCTAACCTTTCCCCAAGAGGCTCTCGTCTCTCTGCTCTCTGAACAGACTCTCATCTGCCACCGGTTGTTGATTATCACCCGTCCTTTGAGGAGGTGAGTGTGTGTGTGTGTGTGTGTGTGTGTGTGTGTGGTAATTAAAGACAGAAGGTGCAAAAAACTCAGTGTACTGTTGACCAGCAGTGACTGGTCAAGAAAAAACGTCCTTGTATCAAACTCCATCAAAAGTGAAGCTTGGTGTAGCTTCATTTGGTATAGCTGCTCACTCTTTGAAGCCTTACCCAAAGCTGAAAATGACACTATAGCCGTCGCGCTGCAGTAAAATGTGTGCTGCTGTGTCGTATCATATAACATCTCTTTACTTTTCGGCATCAGCTGGATGGACACAGAGTGAAGGTGACTCAACAATGTTATGAGGCTAATTCACCTCAGGAGGTCAGTAGATGTGAGTGTGAGCTTAGACTAGACTTCGAAACAAGTGTGATGTAATGAAATGTAAGAAAACGGGCAGCAGAGCAGCCTCTGGGTGCAAACACAGCAGATGGTCCTCCAGTGTCGGTCTAATGTGGAAAACACACTGATCTACAGGATGTGATGCACATGACAGGTTTAGTACAGCAACGTTCCTTTGTATTTAAAGCAATGGATGGATTTGATAAGCCAGTATATGAACCCAATACAGGGTCTATGGACTATGGTTTGAAAGTAACTAGTGATGTAAAAATATTATTGATTTAAGCTGAAAACAGCGTGCATGTATATACTTACATACTGTAAAATATCAAAGCAAACTTTAAAATGCACCATCTAAAGTCAGATAAAGAGATAATTACAGGAAATCTGGTGAAATCAGAAGGACATGAAGTATTTAGTGTTTGGACAGAACGGTTGACAAAATGCAAAAGCCACAAAGCAACAACACATCAGTAATAAAAAACACAGACAAACACAAACTACTACAGAAATGATGCTAATACGGAAGATATGCTAAAACAAACACCATGCTGAAATTGAAGTTATGCTTAAAGAGGATTTATTCTCAAATGCAAGTTTCACTAAAATGGAAGTTTTGCTAAAATGCAAAATGGTAAACTTCTGTTTTAGCAGGACTTCATTTTCTGTCTGTTTCAGTGCGATTTCTGCTTTAGCCTAAACTTCATCTTAGCACATCTTTGGTTTTAGCATAACTTTCAAAATAACTCATGTTGTGGTTTTGCCATTGTGTTGTGGCTCTTTGTTGTTCTTTTGTAACTTTTGTTGACCCTTCTGGGCAAATGCAAGTGTGTTTTCCCCGCTTTCTGTAAGACAACACTTCCTAATGACCCAGGAATTGTGTAGAAATCTGGGGTATTTCCTCATTGAGTTTGCATGTCTGTCAAAAAAAACAAAATCCACATCATGCTGACTGGTTACCTGAATTGTGAGTTTCTGAGGTCGTCTGTTATGTATCTTCCTGTGACGGACAGGTGACAGTCGACCACAGGCTGAAAGGACCTCCACATATTGCAGAGATCAACCTGTATTTACGTCTGTCACCTTCTTCTATGTAACTCACGGTTAAAAGCAAAGAACTTCCATTTCAAGCTGTTTTCAGCCAATGAAACCATGTTTTGTTGTTTTGTTGGAGCTAAAATAAAGCCACAGTTTTAAGCTATCTCTCCCAGCTCTCACCTAGCGCCCAACTTTCCTTCCTCAGTTGTTTAATCACTCGCTGGCTTTTGTTCCATCCTCCAGCAGAGATAAAGTTATGCAGCAGCTGCTACACATGAAGTCCAGAGTCTGTATTCAAATAAAATAATAATAAAAAAAAAACAGGAAATGTGTGAAGGATGGCGCACACCTAGGCAGCCGTCTCCTTAGAGTGTTTGCTTGAATAAGATCTGTGCTCGGCATAATGGCTTCTTGGGCTACCTGTGTGTGTGCTGATAAACACACGGCACACCGTCATCTCCAACCTGCTCACAGCTCACAGCGACCTCCATCTGTTGCCACTTTTGAAAAGAGCGTCTGAAAACAGATTTGTGTAATTTGGCATGTTCTTTCAAATGGAAATAATCCGCCTGTTTCTCTTTCTGGGGCTGGGAGGTGGGGAGGAGAGGGGGGGTGCTCTCCTCCGCCGCAGCTTTCAAGGTTAGATTAACGGGACGTTTTTATCGCGCCGGGTTCAGTCCGGATGTTTGAAGCACACAGAAGGCCTCTGTGCGCTGCGCTCTCTGCCTGCTATCGGCTCGTGAGAAAAGAACCGTGACTGTAAAAAAGTTTTGCCCTGGAAAGAGAAGTGAATGGATGAAAGTAGATTGCAATGATGTAGAGAGAAATTCAAAGGACATAAAAGCGACTCAACCAATTTTGAAGTAGAGAAAGTGGCTGTCAGAAGTTAGCGGGCACATTACTATGACCTTTGTGTTGCCATTAAATACCATTTCATAGCAGTATCGCCAGTGGCAATATAAATGTCTCTAATTTTCAGTTTGACCAACAGATTTTTGGTAGATTAGCTTAGCTGGAGATACTCTGCATGAAAGTTTTGGTTATGGATTGTTTACTTCCTGTGTGTGAAGCACCAGTAACTAAAGAGACCGCCCCAAAAGCAGGAAGTGGATCATAGCACAGCGCATTCTGGGTAAATGCCAACAAAACTAACATGCTAGTTTAGCGCTAGGAGGAGAAAATGGCTCGTGGTCTTTTTCCAAAAGCAAAACAGAAATCCTGCAACGGACAAAATCTGATACCACCCTATTTTTGTTTGCATTTCATGAAGAAGAAAGTTGTGCTTGGTGTCTTCTGCTTCAGTGGTTCTTGGTGCAGCTCCACCACAGGCGAGGAGGGGAACAGGCTGCTCAATGTTTGACAAAAACGTTTTGTGTACTGTGTGTATATATATATATATATATATATATATATATATATATATCTCCATCCATCTATCTTCACATAGTGCATAGAGGCAAATCTGTCATTTTTGCACCTTATTTTGGTCATCTTTTTGTACAAAAATTTCCATTTTTATAAGATAGACATATACGTGTTCTACCCAAATTTCTGAAATTATTCATGGAATTTGTAATTGTAAATGTTCTGACTCGTGTATCATATAAATCATAAATGCTTTTGTTTTTCCTGACGTGTTCTTTTATCTAGCCGATTGGTCTACGCCTTACATCTGCTCCCGTAACCTCCACCACGCGCTGATGCCAAAACAAAACTACAGCCTCCCTGATGACAGAAGTACACACCGTCACGCTATGCTTCAGAGTGGTTTGGCGGAGAACCCGGGCTCCAGCCTAACCCGGTCAGCCAGTCCTGAACACGCTGCTGGAGCAGGATGGGAAACAGCAACGCTTTTCTGTCTGAGCTCCAAGGTGAGGCCGAAGCCAAAGGTATGGTGATGAAAGGTATGCCCTTTTGTTAGGACTCCAGTTTTCTGTTTTCAGGTCTTTTCTCTGTAGGACTCTCTGCTCAGCCAAAGTATATAACCGGTGTCATCAGATGTGCTTTTTAGCTCTGGCTTGTGAAAAAGCAGAAGCTGTGAGTTCAAAAGGGAAATTCTGCTGACAGAGAAACAAGCTCCAGCTCTCCAAACCTCACATGTTTACATGTGCTCTCTTGGTTACAAGAAGTGATTAAAGGAAAAACTGATTGTGTGTGTGATTAGTTGAGACTGCAGCTGCATGTTATGCACCAGATTATAACAAACAGGAAAAAACTATTGTTTGATGCTGAAACTCCGTTTATGTTTAATGAGTCAGTGTTAGCGTCTCTTTGATCCGACCGGCTGCTCATGGAAACGTCCCTTCAGATACACCATGACCTGCCAGTGTTTGACCGCGGTCTGACACACACCTGGAGAACCACTTTGCTTTCCTGAGCTCCACCAGCAGCTGAATGCTGCGTGCCCGATTTCATCACTATGGTTTCCTGTGAAGAAAAATATATATTTGTAATATTTTTTCCTTGTACTGGGTATGTGGGATGATTTTGTTTTATGTTTAGCAAACTGTTTTAGCCATGTTTTAGCCTGTATGCTAACAAAAAGCTGGATGATATTTAGGTCTAAGTTAATCATTTTGGTCTATTTGCTTGGTTTGCGATCATGTCAAAATTTTGTTTTATGGAAAGTTTAAGTTTAAGCTAAATTGATGCTTTAAAGTAAAAAACCATGTTTTTTACTTTAAAGCATCAATTTGTACATTAATTTGTAAGTAATGCAAATTAAAGGGGCAGAATTATGTGTTTTCCAGGGACATGGTGTCATTTTATAGCATTATCAAGTTAACTATGTCACCTTCAGTTGTTGGAAAAAAAAAAGTTACATAAATCAAGTATGGCTTAAAACAAATTTGACTTTGCAATTTAACGCCTTGAAATTGGGCCTCTGCCTCTTTAAGAAACTCCTGCTCTTTCTTGTCAATCTTCTCTGCTGTGTTTTCATCTGTCTGTGGTTAATCGTTTAACTCTTGTCTAAATGTGACACAGAAAACCAAAGTCATGCTGCTACAGCCACTGCACTGAACCCCATTGAAAACTTCCTGGTTTTTCCACCAGGTTTTTTGACTCCTGAACTCTGAGTTCAAACATTAATATTGTGGTTTCTAAATTATTTTCTTTGCATTATTTGAGGTCTGAAAGCCCTGCATCTTTTTTCGTTATTATTTTTGACCATTTCTCATTTTCTGCAAATAAGTACACAATTTATTTGGAATTTCAGAGACATGTCAGTAGTTCATAGAATAAAAGAACAATGTTCATTTTACTCAAATATAAACCTATAAAGAGAAAAATCAGAGAAGCTCATAATTCTAAGTGCTCTCTTAATTTTTTCCAGAGCTGTATATTCTTTTTTTCTATGCTTTCTTTTAGTTAATCTTTTAAATAAACCAGACATGTTCACTTATCCTCCCGACCCCACTAGGGACAAGGGCGTAAGAAAATGGATGGATGGATGTTCACTTATTCCTATTTCATATTTTAGCACATAACAGATACTAGAATATTTATTTCTTAGATTCTTTGCAATTTCTCTGAGTGTTGTTTGGTCTAGTTTTGAGGTAAATTTGCTGAAACTTCCACTTCTGGGAGGAAAATTCTCATAAATGTTTGAGTAAACCTGCATCTCTTCGCATTAACGGAATAGAAAATGTTTGGAAATGCCAATATAACTCCTCTGGGATTATTGGACGGCAACAATTGCTTCCCCAAGGCAATGTCTTTCTAGCTAATCATTGTGTATGAATACACCTGGCTGATGTGATCCCTACTGGCTCTGTCAACCAGTTTTTGTCAAGTGCACTAAGAAAAACTACAAAACAATAAAACCCAAAAGCATTTCTCCAAGAAAAATACTCCATCTGTTTCTCAACTGACAATTTCCAAAGTCTTTTGCTAATTCCGGAGCCGCGTCTCGTCAGACGGCAGCTCGTCAGGTTGAGTGACGCGTTCAGGGAGGCTGAAACACGTGAATGCATGTGGGGAATAAAAACAAGCTGCGCTCACACACTTTCCCACACTGACACCTTGATGATTCTCACCTCCATTACTGCTCACCTTCTGTTCCCGGCAGGACTGCTGGACGTGAGCCTCCATCTCCATCTAGTAAACATGCTCTCTCACCGCCGGGGCGACACGCTCTCCAAAAAGCCGTGCTGAGCCTGAGCAAATGCGCTCAGACCCACAGACGAGCGCTCGCAGCAACCCACAGAAAGGACGACAAGTGTACGCACATGTGACCCCCGCAGAGGAAGTGAGATTAGCTTTTTGCTGCTGCTGTAATTCAGTTATCCCTCTCAGCCCGAGGCCAGGCGGCGGGCAGCCGGCCGGGGAGCGGGATTGTGCTGCGTCCAGACTTTTGTCTGATTGGCAGCTTTGCTCATCCCTCCTGCACACAGGTGACCGTCTTCTTCCCAGAGTCTGACTCCTCTCCACGTTCTGCGACCCCCTTCGGTTTTCACACAACCTCCCGACACCAAGGCTTGTCTCTTGCTGCTAATCTGCCATCTTAAATATGGCTGCCGTGACAGCTTGCTTTATGACATGACTCTTGACTCAGGAATTTCTCCGTGGCATAAGGGTCTGGGATTGCACTGGCACCTACAGTAAATACAAACATTTACAAAAGTTCAAGCAGAAGATCACTGGTGTAATATTTAATTTAACAGTGAGACTCAGTTACAATACTGAGTTAACTTATGGGTCTGTAATTGATCAGTCGTGTTTCAAAGGCAATAACATTTTCAAATTAAAAAAACGTTTTTTTGCTAAGTTATTTCATAAATAGACATGAACACAACAAAGATATTTATTGTTTCTACTCTTATTTAGATAGTTGGACCATTTCTGACGGCAAATGAGAAAGAAAAGCACAAATGGACATAAATCAAGTACACAGAAATCTGTATTTATTCCCATGTCATCAAAGTATTTCATATCAAAAAATGGTCCTTCAAACTCTCAATAATACTGTCAGAATGAAACATCTTGATTAAGTTTTTTATTTATTTGTTTCACCTAACTGCCAGCAGTTTAAATAATTATCAGTTTTCATTGGTAGAAGGAAAAGTTGAGCAGATAATATCATCATCCATCAACAAATCAGGAATCATCAGCCTGGCCGGTGAGCCGCTGCCTTACCAGGACCGCTTGGTGTCTGACTCTGAACTGCGATCACGCGCGCAGACCACGCATGCTCATGTAGTGAGTCACGCGCGCGGGCATCAACGCAGCCACGCAGCGGGAGGCAGCCCCGCTGGCGCAGGTTTCGCCACTTTTTCCTCCCTGTTTTTGGAAAGAGGTCTCGTTCTCCAAGGTGTGTCTAAACAGAGATGACATGTTGGATGTGCTGCCATGAGCCGCGCTGCCACCGCGCCAGAAAAGCAGCTGCGCTTGTTTTATTCCCCCTCTTTTTTTCTCTCTCTCGCTTTCCGTTTCTTCTCTTTCCCTGCGAAACGCAGCGCAGTGCCAGAGAAAACACAGTCATTGTTTGTTTTTAATGCTTGTTCCATTCCTCAGGTTTTTTATCCCGACTTAAAAATACCGACGAGTCGGGGAGGAGGCTTGACAAACGGAGTGACGCTCGTGTTAATTTGGGCCTCTGACGCCTGAGGAGTTCTCTGTCATGTTGCATTAAACACTTCGTTTTTTGTTGATTTTTTCCCCGTTCCTTTCCACGCTGACATGTTTTTGTACAAACGTTTCCTTGTGACTCGATTCCTTCATTACGTGACGCCACGGCGTTTCACCGCGTCTGACGTATCATCTGATACGTCTGAACAGACATCTAATGAGACCCTGATGGACAACTCTGAGGGAGAATCATGTCAGAGAGGCAAAGGAGGAGGTGATCCGGATTGGACGGTTCCGATCCTGGAAACGTTCCGGATTCCTTTTCAACACTTTGACACTTTTCTTTTAAATAGGATGTCTCCAATTAGACTGATGTAGCAGCACACAGAAGATGCCCCTCCAGGTAGGTTATAAAACATGTAAAAATACACCGCTTTCTTTCATATGCAGCTCAAAAGGGAGTTATAAAGTGTAGTGGATCATAACTTTCCTCCAATCACGTCACATTAGGTGATTTTTTTGTGTGTGTGTTTATTTGAGGAAAGTGTTTACCTTTATATTTTTGAGAAACTCACAAAAGTGAGGTAGCAACAAGCACAACACACAAGCAACTGAAGACTAAAATCACTGAAGCATTGAGAATAATCCGGTATATTTGTTCTTGTTTTATTTTACCAGAAAATGTAACTTTTAAGATGATTAATTGGTCCTTTTCCTCTCAGAGCAGGAAAATGTTGCTTTGTAGCAGGTTTTAAGGATTTTAGCTGCTAATTGTGAAACTGACAGGATGTAAATATGGTAATCTTTGTAAAAGAGCTGCTTGATTATGGGAAAAAAAAAGTGTAATCGCTGTTATTTTGGTCAATGTTGAACCGTGATTATATAAACCTTTTTCTTTTTTTTTTACTGACTTTGTAGAAACAACATATTTATTGCACTTGGAGAACAGAGATTTACCTTGAACAGAATCCTTTCCTATTGGCGTTTTTCTTAAAGTAACTGACATATTTATTAAAATGTAGGAAATTATTCAGAAAATTCTAAGCAATACAGAATATCCTGTATTGCTTAGAATTGAAAGTGAAAT